AATCCATGTACCCATATACATGGAGATATGTTCAAGAATTTATATGGCGACATTGTTCAAATAGAAAAAACTGGAGGGGCTGGGGGTGTGGCTCAAGGGGTAGCGTGCTCACCTGGCATGAGTGAGGCCCAGGTTCGATCCTCAGCACCACATACAAACAAAGATGTTGTGTCCACCGAAATCTAAAAAAAAAAAAAAAAAAAAAAGTTTGTAATGTGGTGGAGAGGCACATGGGTTCTATTTGGGGGAATTATCCCCCAATTATCCCCCAAGCAGTTAGGATTGTCTTTGTTTTCAGGAGAGAAAAGGATCGAGGTATATTTGGTAAACCATCATTCTGTTAAGAATTTTAAAAACTGTCTTCATGGAAAATGAATCATTTCTTAGCATCAAGGCAGAGGTTATCCATTAAGTTGCTCCTACTGTCAAACTGACACTTGTTTCCCAGTAAACACTAAGTAGATAGAAGAGGAAAACAGTATTGTGGACAACCTATACTGTCAAAGTTTGCAGAGTACAACTTTATCCCAAAATTTTAAAGAAATGAAAGCCCAAATGGGAAGTTAGTTTATTGGTGCAGATGCCTTGAAATTACAAAAGTCAGTGGTATCTAGCTGCCTTTGAGAACATGAAAGAGAGAATTTTCAAGAAGGAGAACATGGAGAAGTCTATGGTGACAGACCAAGGACTTCAAGAAGAGAAGTTTGGTTTTTAATATTTTCTCTTCAACCAAGCTCTATAAAACTGATGAGTCTAGAAAAGCCTTATGAGGGAAATGGAAGTTATAGTCTGAGAACGTTCTCCATGAGCCAGGTGTGATGGCACACGCCTATAATTCCAGCAGCTTAAGACACTGAGGCAGGAGGATCACGAATTCAAAGCCAGCCTCAGCAACTTGGCAAGACCCTGTCCTTAAATAAAAATGCATAAAAGGGCTAGGGATGTGGCTCAGTTGTTGAGTATCCCTGGGTTGCATCCCTGGTACCAAAAAAAAAAAAAAAAAGTGTTCTCTCTGACATTCTGAAAAACCTTACTTCTGTGGTCTGTAGAATCAAGCAGAACAGCTGTATGTTAAGTTCCATGAGCTAAGTGCAATCTTCTCTTTATTCCCTCAGACTTAGCCACAGCTAACATATAAACTTCATTGATTCAGAAGGTCAATGATGTTCATTTGACAGAATAAATAGAAAGAAGATAAATGTGAGCTCTCTAGGCATTCTGTAAATCTGAATCAGATTTCTCTGAAAAGAGAACTCTTTGTAATGGACAAGATGGGGAGGAACTTTGTGCAATGTCTGTGACAACATCAGAATTTAAATGGGTCAATTAATATCTTGAAATGTTTCTATGATTTATTCCTACAGAATCCATTACATATGTTTCTCAAAAGTTATGCAAATAATAGCACTTGGTGTATTATTTTGTTCAGGTGATGCTGATGGTTCCCTAATAGGGAGATTCTGTGGCCCAAAACCTACCCTGCCATTGGTTATACCTCATCGGCAGGTGTGGATACAATTTGTTACCAATGATCGCATGGAATATCCTGGATTCCTCATAAAGTATTCCTTTACAGGTAAGACTAATGATTCAGATCTCAATATCTGGCAATAACGTGATAATTAAAATTTTGGGTTTTTTCCATAAAAATATTTCATGTATTTTGCTAGATGTATTTCTAGGCAACTATTAGTTTTGCTTCCAATGTCAACAAGATTTTCCAAATTGTGTTTAATAATTGGCTGTTGCTGATACCTAGGAATTTTATAAGTTTTATATATTTATCTTTATTTTAGAGATCTTGCTATACTCTTTTTGGTTTTAATATTTTTTATCTTTGAGTCTCTTTGTTTCTTCTGTATTTCTCCAATTCTTAGTGTACAAAATGTATTTTTTTAAAAATAAGAAATGTGTATAAGATTTTATCAACTGTTTTCAGCATCTATTGGAATGCTAGTTTTTCTTCCTTTCACACATTATTGTGACAATTTTATTGAAATAATTTCTCTTGGTAAACTGTTCTTGAGTTGCTGTGATAAACTATACTTGGTTATGATGTATGTTTTGTTCATGTGACTACATATTATGGGCTAATATTTTATGTTGCATTTGCATCTCTGACACTCAGTGCTTACACCCAAAAAATTCATCCCCCAGAGTGCAGCTTCCCTTGGTTATTAAATTCTTTTCCAGTCCCTTTCCACTAACATGGCAGTCCTTTTAGATACCCAACTTTATGTAAACATCCCAATTCCATCTTTTCTGTGGAAGTCCCTAAACTCTCTTATCCCAACTTCATGGCCCACATCTTTATTCTTTAGTCTCTTTAGTCTCTCAGACAACCACACTGCTTGAGATTGCCCTTGTGAACTTGAGTACATTTATTGCTGATCAATTTTTGAAGACCCCTTTTCCTTTCCATTGAATTTGGCTTTGTTTTGGTTATAGTTTTATTTACTTTGTGTGTGTGTGTGTGTGTGTGTGTGTGTGTGTGTGTTATATCCAAATGGCTGCTTGGAGAAAGGAGTGAAATTGATAGTAATGGACTCAATCATCTTGCTTGTCATGAGCCATCCTTGGGTTGTGTGTGGACTGTGTTGTGCATCGTAGCCAAGTGAGGGGATAAGTCTGGCACTGGGAACTTCCTGTGGCAACCCCCCAGAGATTGATGGCCTGATGCAGGTGAACTGCCCCCTCAAGCTCAAGCTCTGCCAAACATCCCACACAGCACCTGAGATGGGTGTGACCTGCCAAGATGCCAATCAACCTGAGGATCGCAAGACATCACAAAGCAACACTCCACCCTTGAAACCTTATCCCTGCCTTTGATGTCCTCCCCTTAAATAAACCTCTGGAGACATCTTTTCCTAGTTCCAGCACCCATGTGGACTAGGTCTATCAGGGGCTTTGCTTTATGTAAATATCTTTCTTACTGTTTGTGTTGTGTTCTTCACTTATTAATTTAGACTTTAAGTTTCCAGATGGCTTTTACCCTCCTCAGCAGGAAGAAGAACTCTCCAGTGAGACACTGGCCATTGTCCCCCTTACTTGCCAGTTGATTTTTCTGTATCAGATTAAAAAAGAAGAATCAGGCTCCAAGGAGCAGTATTATTTGTGTTGAACATCAGGTCATGCTATGCTCTGCTATGATTTGTTAATATGTCATTTGATACCTGACTATGTGCTTATTATAAAGCAACAAGGTATTTAATTATGAGACCGGTCATTTCTTCAAGCTCACATATGTTTTCTCTAGCCTAGTTTTTGCTAGAAAGGTGATGTTACTTTGTCTCTCATGAAGTTACTGTCAGTTATCTTCCTTCTCCTTTGTACTAAACCTAGGGCTGTCCTCACTACGTGGTTCTGTTTAGCCAACACTATTTGGGAATCTGTTTCTATTCTTTCATCTAACTTTGCTTTTGTGCCAGTTTCATTTATTTATTCATTTATCATATTTTTATCATAAAGTATGATGACTATAAGATTACTATGGCTTTACAGGTCCCCCACCCACTTCTATCTTATGTAGACAGTTGCAAATCTAATTTCAGATTGTGGAGGAATACAGACAGGTGAGAGTGGAGTGATTACAAGCCCCAACTACCCAGACTCTTATGACAGCTTCACCCACTGTTCTTGGTTGTTGGAAGCCCCTCCAGGACACACCATCACCGTGAGTTCTTTTTACTGTATAAAATATTTCTACATCCATATCATGGAAATTGGCTTCTTTTAGTATGCAAGTGATCAGTGTAGGCTTTGATTCTGTGGTCAGATCATTATTTCTCTCTAAAAATGCTCTCCTTATAGTATCTACAAATCTATAATTAATGAAGAATGCTATCTTTTTTTTCAAATCTAGGAGAAGTTGTACATAGATAATATTTCTACGTTCAGGAAAGAGATGTATTCGTGTTCTTGATGAGCTTTCATTCATGTTCCTGATGAGCTGGGGTTCCAGAGCTTCTCTACTTTCTGGAGAAATAGCCCATTTAAACTTTCAAGAGAATCATTGATAAGGAAATAGAGAGGAGGGGAGAGGAGAGTTAAAGAAGGGGCAGGAATAAAAGATTATGTGAATTTAAATGAAATAAAAAGATTTATAAGGACCTTGTAGGTCACTCACAGCGCAGAGCACCTCATCATTTCTTTCTTTTTCCACAGCTTACATTCAGTAGCTTTGATGTTGAAAGACATGTAGCTTGTGCCTGGGACTCCGTCACTGTCAGGAATGGTGGCTCCCCTGGATCACCTATCATAGGACAGTACTGTGGAGAGTCAAACCCAGAGACAATACAGTCTGGTTCCAACCAGCTCGTGGTGATTTTTAACTCTGACCATTCAGTACAAAAAGGTGGATTTTATGCTACATGGAGCACACAGACTTTAGGTAAAGGAAACTCTGCTCTTGTCTTCTTTTTGCAGTGGTGTCTAAATTTATTTAAAATACAGTCATTCTTTGGTATAACTGAGAGGGATTGGTTCCAGGACCCTAATGGATACCCTAACCTATGGAAGCTCAAGTCCCTTACATAAAATGTTTCAGTATGTGTGTAGAACCTGTGTGTATCCTTCTATATACTTTAAATCAGCTCTAGATTACTTATAATATCTAATTCAATATAAATTCTATATAAATATTTGTTATAGGGGGCTGGGGTTGTGGCTCAGTAGTAGAGTGCTTGCCTAGCATACATGAGGTACTGGGTTTAATCCCTGACACCACATAAAAATAAAAGCAAATAAAAGTATTGTGTCTATCTACAATTGAAATTTTTTTAAATAAATACATATTTGTTATAATGTATTATTAGGGAATAAGGGCAAGGAAAACAGTTTGTACGCTTAATGCAGATGCAAGTCTTTCTTTTCAGTTCTTTCTGATTCATGGTTACTTAAATCCATGGAAACAGAACTGCCAATATAGAGGACTGACTATACACATTTTGTATCACTTCTATATTGGGTTCACTTTCAATATTCCATGCACCAACTCTAGTAAGATAACACAGTATTGATACATATCTTCCCTATTTTGCATAGGCAGAAACTGAGAACGAGTGAGCTCATCATTTGCTCAGGGCATATAGCTGATGATTTGTAATCAGGATTTCAATAAAAACAATTGAGCCCAGAAGTTGAACACTGCATGATGCATGTTTCATTAGCAAAAGGGCACAGCACAGCCACGGAATCTCGAGTACTAGAAATAAATGTTGGAATCACAACTAGTTTAAAATATTTGGCCCTCAAAGGTAGAATACTGAGAGTGTTCAGGGAAGGAAAATAAATAGTTCGCATCATGATGAGCCTCAGTTTATGTATCTCCCCATGAGCAGTGGGAACTACTGGAAAGTTTTGAGGAGGAAGATGGCAAGATGAGATTTGTGATTTAGAACAAAAGCAGTAGCACATGGGAACTGAACCAAAGTATAGCAGATTTTATTTAAAAAGAGTAACTTTGGTACCTATAAATTTTCAACCTTGTAAGAATACTCAGAAAATAGGACTTATATATTTAGGATTTCAACAAACCCTAATATCGCACAGGACCATTCTTTCTAGTAGAGTCAGAGTTACTAGGGAGATCTTTGTAGAAGGAGTTGAACTTTCCCTCATTAAATCACTGCCTACGATTAAAGTCATAAGGAATAGATGAACCCCCGGGGTGCTGAGAGCTTAAAAGCAAAGTTGAAGGAATGTTGTTTAACTAAACTTAATTTTGTTTTGAGTTCATATTTTGGCCATCTTTTTTCTTTTTTGGTGCCAAGAGTTGGACTCAGGGTTGCTTAACCACTGAGCCACATCTCCATCCCTTTTTACATTTTTATTTAGAGACAGGATCTCTCTGAGTTGCTTAGGGCCTTGCTAAGTTGCTGAGGATGGCTTTGAGCTTTCAATTCTCCTGCCTCGAGCTTGTGAGCCACTGGGATTACAGGCGTGCATCACCACACTGGTCTGGTCATCTATTAAGTACCCATTTCAAGAGTGTGAAAATAATTCTAAATTTTTATTTCTTAAAATCATTTATTTACACCCATCAGTCAGTTTCAATATAAATGAACCAGATTGTTTAATAAAAGAATTTTCCCCAACTCAATATTACATTCTCTCTAGTCCTGTATTTAAAGTAAAATTACAAATGAGTATAGAGTTGCAGTCCCATGTATTAGTGGTAATAAAATACAGAACTTGACCTTGACAGGCTGTACACTCTAGATTGAGATCTTGTAGTGTTTCTTTTCTAGTGGTCTTGAGTTTCCAAAATTGTGATTTCTCTTGAAGATGGATGACTTTTTCCATGAAATTTTTTTCAGGTTGTGGTGGAATATTTCATTCAGATAATGGCACAATCAGTTCCCCTCACTGGCCTCAGGATTTTCCTGAAAACAGCAGATGTTCCTGGACAGTCATTACTCACGAAAGTAAACACTGGGAGATCAGCTTTGACGGAAACTTCCGAATCCCCAGCAGTGATGGACAGTGTCAGAACAGCTTTGTGAAGGTCAGTGCATTGGCTTACTCAGTTGGAGTCACACTTGTTCTGTGAACATAAATGTTTAGGCTACACATGCCAGGAAGCCACTTTTTAATGTGAAAAAGGACAGATTTGCTGCTTGGATTTCTTGGGTGTAAGTGAGAAATCGCAACTTATTAGGAATTAAAATAGGAAGCACAGCACACAGGTCACCCTGTGATTTTTCATTTGCTAATAACTAGGTAAATTAAGAAAATTTTTGTCTGACATTAGTATATTCTCATGACCATGAATGGTTCCTCCTTTCTGTGGAAATGAAGGAAAGAAAACCAGCTTCCTTCCTTCTTTCCTTCCTACCTTCTCTCTCTCTCTCTCTTTTCTCTCTTTCACCTTAAAAGATAATTCTCTTTACAGTGCAAGGCACCATCACAGTCAAAATTTAACATATTCTATAAAAATGGGAGAAGGTTGGAGAAGGAGCTAATGCCAACCTTCACCCTGGGCCGTAAGGACCCACAAACTGAGAAGACCATGAGACACCCACATAAACATGGAGGCAGTCAGCAAGTTTCTCTCTCTAAGTTATAAATACTGTTCACACAGCGCTGACTTTTCACTACCCATGAACAGGACCATGATGATTGAATCATGAGTGCATTTGACCTGTGCTATTTTGCATCTTACATGTTTTATCTCTAAGAGACACTCCTTTTATTAGAAAGAACATTGGCCTTAAGATCACATTGGCTTGGACATTATTTCTCTTTCTCAAACTTATTACCTGTCTGTTTTATTTATGAGCTAATTCAATGCTTGGGCTCCAAATTATTTCAACTGTAAAATGAAGAGAAATATTTCTACTTTAGTCAGGCTGTTTTAAGCATTAGAGTTAATATGATATAGTAACGTACGTAGTACTCAGTATATGGATATGAAATTGCTTAATGAGTAGAAGTAGCTCTTATTGTTAATGTTATTATTTCATATCATCTCTGGAATTATGTTTTATACCTCATTGATCCATAGTTCCTATTTAAATGAAAATCCAATACTTACAGAAGTAGAGGCATTATAAACCACATTTAATATATACTTTTCCTAATTGCTTTTTTCATGAAGCAAGTGAGCTCTCTTCTCATGAAATGAGTCAATATCATGGGTACAGACTGAAGAAAAGCCTTGTAAGTTCTCCAATTGTTCAAACAAAATCTGAAAATGACCTGGACTCATTCCTTTTATGGAGAGAAGTCCCTCTGACATCATGATGAAGCCAAACACCAGTGGCAAATGAGATCATTTGGGGGCCTTGTCACCATAATTGCCAGAGGAAGCAGTCTTTTTCTCCTGGGGGGCAGAGGTCTAAGACACCTGCCTCTTCCAAGAAATGCTATATGTAAATAACTAGTAAAGGAATGTAGCAAACGCAAACAGTCTTGTGTGGGTAGCCCCTTTGTGCCTATGAGCCCAGAACTCTCCTCCCTACCCCAGAGACAGAAGGACAGATGGACAGAATGAGCATCCTGTCCATTGGTCCAAAATGCCTGTCTCCACAAGCCAGAAAGACTACTACCCAACCCAAAGACATAGGGGCATACAGGAGCCGTACCTAAGGGAATTGTACTAGACCCTTATGCTTCAATTGAGAAACACATGGAGGCCCAAACATATAAAGTATCCTCTACCTACTCAGGTAGCCCTAGGTGCTCCAGTAGCAGCCAATAAACCAAGCAAACCAAAATCACACCGCAAAGATTATGAAAAGTTAAAGAGCCAATGGAACCATACCCCATCAAATATGCAAGACTACATACTAAACATAAACGTATAAATAAGATCCGGAATCTTCTAACATAATTAAGTGTATACAATTAAAAAGAACTCATCATAATAAGAATTAGGAAGAACATCAGGACTTGAGTGAGAAAAGACAGGTGAGGCCGACACTGAAGTAAATCAGGTGTTGGAATCACATGGCAAGGATGCCATAAAAATACTCTGCAACTACTGACAAGTTCTCTTGAAACAAAAAAGAGAATTTCAGTAAAGAAACAATAGCTAGCATGAAGGAATAAATGGCAATTATAGAATTGAAAGATACAACAATAGAAATAACTTACTGGTAGTTCAATAGTGAAGTGGACATTACAAAGAGTAGAATCAATGAGGTTGGGGACAGAAAAACAGAGTAATTCACCCCGTCTGAACAATAAAGAGAAAATAGACTTAAAAAATCACCAAGGAAGCCTTAGAGACCCATGAACAATAACAAATGGTGGGACATTCTATCACTGGAGTGCCACAAAGAGAAGAGAATACATTTGAAAGACAAGACATAATGAAGTGCTAAAATAAAAGAATGGTCACTCATAAATTTAATATCTGGAAAACTATTCCTCAGAACTAAGAGGAAAACAAAATCTTGTCACATAAAGAAAACAAAAAGAAATGATTTCTAGGGGACCTCCCACTAAAGACTGTCTAATGGAAGTTCTTCAGATGAAATGAAATAAGAAGAAATTCTGTAGCATCAGGAAGGAAGAAAGGACATGTGCAGAGAAGAAATGTGTACCTACAATAGAATATCCTTTATAAGTTTTATGAAGGATAGTGATCATTTTAAAAAAGATTATAATGCCCTCTGATACTGAATACAATGAAAAATTGGTAAGATAAAGGGACCTAAATGGAGGGTATATTACACTTCGCTCAAAATGGTCCACTGTGGAAGCCAGTAAACTGTTAAAATCACATGTGTATGTTGTGATACCAGGAACAATAACAACTACCAAAATTATATAAAGAGATATACACCAAAACACCATTCTTCAATCAAAATGGAATCTCCAGGAAGTCAAGAAACAGAGAAGTACATAGAAAGCAAACAATAAAATATCAGACATAGCTTAAATGTATTTATATCAATATTTTAATTGTAAATAGCTGAATAGCATTCATTGAAATACAGAGATTATTGGAGCCAAGCTATGGGCCAAGTGATAATAAATATAATTCAAATTCAACCACATAGTCAGTTTAAAAGTGAAATATAGAAAAACATACACTATGCAAACATTTATCAAAAAAAAAAAAAACAGTAGCTATACCATTACCTGATAACCTAGATGTTGGAGTATAGAAAGTCACTATAGAAAAAAAGGGATCTTTCATAATAACAGAATCAATCCATCTGGAAGATATAATGATTCTAAATATGTGTAATATAATAATAGTAATGTTTGAAAAAAATAGTGCATACAGACATCTTTCTCTCAGTAAGTTATACTCATAATTTTATAATATGTAGATATAAAACTATAGGAAAAATTTAATGAAGTTATTCCATAAAATTAGGAATGTTTCTGTAAAGGTCTTTTTATTGACATTTTTATTGGTCTTAGGCATTTAGCAGAATATCTGCATTTTTGTTCTCATTAGCTATGCTGCCAGGCACCTCTGATACCTGATAAATGGCTAGCATAATTTGTCTGCAAGTAAGATGACTAACCGCTGGATACCAGCATTTGAAAAATCAATTGAAATGATATGGCTTTAAAGAACAGAGAAATATTAAATCAGTGGAATGGTCAGGTGCTGTTTTCAGTTCTTCCCATGGACTGATCTACAAACTGAAATCTTTTTATGACTTGATATCTTTTGCTCTTTTTAAGGAATATTCTTGAAAGATTTGATTTTGGAATGGATAATTTTGTATAATTTGATCTGAAGAGAATGTGGAATAGTAAAGTGGGTCTCATCCATAGCCAATTACCTTCTTGGGCCAGATAATTCTTTTTTGTGGGGGGGGTGGGGCAGTTGTGGGGAGTTGTCCTTTGCACTGTAGGATGTTTATCAACATCCTTCCCTACTGGGTACTACCCTCACACACCAAATGTGATACTCTGAAATGCCTCCGGACATTGCCAAATGTCTTTTGGGAAACTCAAACCTCAGTTGGATAAGGTTGATTGAAAGGTAAGAGAAAACTGGATAGTGATTGATCATTTTTTTAATCACTGCCCAGCTACACAAAGTAAACAATCCTCTTAGAGCAGTGAGAGTGGAGTGGGGTATTTTAAAAGCAGCTTAAAAAACTATTCTCAAAAGAAAATATTGCAGATTTCCTCATATTTCATTTACTGTTATTTTTTTTTGTAGATACCTGAGTATCATTAGTTTTGAGCTTAAGCACATTAAAACATAAGTCATGTTTATGATCCTGCTAGGTGTGGACAGGAACTGAAGAGACCAACAACGCCCTGTTGGCCACAAACTGTGGGAACATGGCTCCCAGGACCATTATTACACCAACAAATGCATTCAGGGTCGTCTTCCAGTCTCAGGAAGAGCCAGCCCAGGGTTTCTCCGCATCCTTCGTAAGCCGTAAGTAGCATTAAACCCAGAGGTTATGGAAAGAGTGTGGGGGCCACAGGAAGCCTTGGAAAATGGTGGGAAGACTGTGCCAAGGTGACTTGAACTAGGAGATCCAAGGGGAAGAACATGGGTGAGTCACCTAATCCTGAAGAAACACCTTTCCTTCGAAATTCAGGGAGAATACAACTGAATTCAACAGTATATCAATTGAGAAATGGTGTAAAAGACATGAGTGCTACTAGCCAACATCTAAAAATAAGCCTAAGATCCAAAGTGAGTGTGTATTTGATAGAAGCTCAGGTGGCTGGTAATTAGACATGCATGGGAACACTTTCATCTCCTGTTTCAAAATCACTTGTGGGGCCTGGAAGAGCATGTACATTCTTGGGCATCACCCTAGGCCCAACTGAACTGAGCATTTCCATGGGCGAGGGGCTTGCATGTTTAATCTTTATCCAGAAGCCTCTCATGTCATTCAACTTTGGAATCTGCTTTCTTGGGTGTTCCCTCTTCCTAGCTGGGTACATGGGTCTGCTTCTCTGACTACTAAACACAAATTGGGCTAATGGGAACTGCAGTCGTCTTCACGTCTGAGAAGCAATGGGGCAGCCTATTGGCTGAAATGATTAAATCAAGTAGCTACTAATTGCGAACCACTGTTCAGGAAAAAAAAAAAAAATCCAGAAGAGGAATTAGAGAGACTAATAGTAAACAGGTATTTCTGACATGAATAGAAGGAAGGTGGTGGAAAGGATGTCATGAAAGGCAACTCTGGACCTAAGCACAGGTCTTCAGATGGTTGATGGTGTGGTGCCTGTGTGTACAATTGTGTGTGTTTTAATACCATTTAAAAGAATACAGATATTTTCATGCCTGATCTGTTAAGGAGTGATATGAATTAACTGGTTAGTGGTTATATGAAAACCAAATACTATTTTAATAGTAGAAATATTTTTTTCTTTATTTCCGACCCAAGGATTCATTCGAGAAGTTTGTGAGAATTGTGATTAGTAAATTCAACTTGTTTTTAAAAATACTAGCATTATTCTTATGGCTGGATTACAATAGTAACAAAAATAATGTAGTAATGTCATTCTCTAATTAGACATTTCAAAAACATTAAATGTACAAAGTACATTGCAAATCACTTTTACCAGTTTTATTTCTTTATCTCTGTGAACCACATTCAATCTCTGACATCCTTTTTTAAAAAGAAAATCTTCATATGAAGGAATTTACAGTGAATATGTGGTAAAACTTATACTACCTAGCACCTAAAATTCTGCACATTTTCTTTAAAAAGTCCTCTTTTTGTGTGTATGTTTATTTTTAAATAAAAGTTTCATGCTCTTAGTTATTATTTCTTCCATTTGGAGTTTCCCAGGAAACTGTCACTAGAGAATTTGTGAAATGACATCTTTCTGTTACTGATAAAATAGACACCAGATGTGACAACAAATGTTCTGATGATGCCATTTTTCTCCCACATAGGATGTGGACGTAATTTCACTGGCTCTACAGGTAACATCATTTCTCCAAACTTCCCAAGGCCGTACGACAACAATATGAACTGCACCTATATCATAGAAGCTAATTCTCAGTCTCTGGTTGTCTTGACATTTGTGTCTTTCCACTTGGAAGGTAAGTTTATTCTTTTTGAAAAATTTAAATAATTTTAATTAAATAAAAACTATATGTGTAAGGTGTACAACATGATGTTTGAATATTTGCATGCATTGTGGAATTTCTAGATCAAGCTAGATGACATATTAACACTCTACTTATCAGTTTTTTGGTGATGAGAACATTTAAAATTTCCTTTCAACAATTTTAAATTAGACAATACATTGGTATTAATTATAATCATGGTGGGGTACAATATATTTCCTAAATTTAGTCCTCCTACAGAATAAAGTGAAATTTTGTATCCTTTGTTAGATAGCTCACCATTCCTCTTCCCCCAGAGTCTGATAACCACTGTTCTACTCTAGGTTTCTATGAGTTCATCTTTTTTGGATTTGACATAGAAGTGAGACCATGCATGTCTTTCTATATGCATGTATTATTTCACTTAGCATAATGTCTTCCAGGTTCATCCTTGCTGTCAAAAGATCAGGGTTGCTTTGTTTTTAAAGTCTGAATACTATTTAATTGTGTACACATTTTCTTTTCTTTTTTCTTTTTCTTTTCTTTTTTTTTTTTCTGGTGCTGGGCATTGAGTCAGAGCCTCACACATGCTAGGCAAGTGCTCTACCACTGAGCCACACCCTCAACCCCCACATTTTCTTTATCCACTGGTGGACCCAGATTGTTTCCATGTCTCAACTATTATGAATAATGCTGTCATGAACATGGAAGAGTAAAAATATCTCTTTGATATACTCATTTCATTTCTTTTCACCGTTTAAACAGAAGTGGAGCTTCTTGATCATACAGTAGTCCTATTTTTAATTTTTTGAGAAACCTCCATACCATTTTCCATAATGGTTCTTCCGATTTACATTTCTACCAACAGTATAAAAGTGTCCAATTTCTCTAAGTTCTCCCAATATTTCTCTTTTGATAATAGCCCTGGAAGGCAGACTTATTCTTAAGCATACTATGAAAAAAATCTATGAAATAGTATGAAAAAAATTATACTATGAAAGAAATTAATGAGGGGTAAGAAGAGGCAGAGATACTCTAAATCACCATTTGAAAAACTATATAAATAACATGTCATGTAAATGTGCATAAAGATCCAAATAAAGGATCCAACCATTTATTCAAAAAACTTTCTATATATTCCATCCAGAAGTATACAAATAGTAAGAACTTTAAGGCCATATGCATCACATAAATTTTGTAAAGAAGATAAATCTGAAATGTGTTACATATTACCATAGCTTTTAATTTATTCATTTGTGTTTATTCTCTCCACTCTATTCACACCCACACTTATGCACATACCACAAATTAACCAGAAAGAAACTGACTTATCGAGTCAAAATAGGTGTTTAATAAATATTGATTTGAGTGAGTTAACAAGATTAACATTTGTGGTTTGCTTCTATGAAATATTATCATGGGATACGCTTTCATCTCCTTTCTCTTTATGATCTTCTCCTAGTCCTTTTTCCTTAGTGTTGAGGCTCCTATCCACAAGCACAGTTATACAAAGCCTCTCTCTTTCCTTTTGCTATGACCTCATCTTTCCCTCTATCTCTGTAGCTTGATTTTTCTGCACATATGTTTGCCTAAAAATGCCAAATATAATTCATATTTGTCATTGTAAACATGTAAAATATAATGTCTTAGCATTTGCTGCCACAAAAGTCTCAGTAATGTAAAAACATGTTCATGATTCATTAAGTATTGAGGAAGGATAAAATAGTTTACATAAGATTATCTGATTTCTATTTTAAATAACATACATGTGAATAAATTCTATAAGACTGTTAAATAGTACTTTAAGAATTATCAATATGGGATAGATTTATAGGTGATATTTATTTTCTTTTCAATAAATTTATATTTTTATAATCAGGAGAGTTATTCTAATAACACAAAACATGTGTCTCATATTTTTCATTTGCATATATGCTTTTATTCCCAGTGAATTATATAAACATGAGAATGTCATGTGCCAATATCATTTAGACTCAAAAGAGGAGACATTAGTAAATATATTTCAATGCCACACAAAGCACTGCTGATATCAATGGCATATGTATCACTACAAGGAACCCTATACCACCTTAAACAGTAGTCCCTGAGCTTAGTCAACTGGGTGGGAAAATGGGATAACACAGTGGAATTCCCAAGATTACATAATGGGAAAAAGCATAGCATCTTGGGATGTCTTAAGGCCAGAAGAGCCACCTACCACATGACTTTGCATAAATTACCTTTCTAGAGATAACCACTTGCTTTTACACACACACTCACACATTCATGTGCCACATAATGATTTCTCAGTTGATGATGGACTATGTGAATGACAGTCTGTAATGTTATACCACCTAGTGACATTGTAACCATTCTATTTGTTTAGTGTACTTATACTCCATGATATTTGCACAAAGACACAGCCGCCTAACAACACATAGCTCAGAATCTGTTTCTCCACTGTTAGGAGATATGACTCTATGAAAAATAGTACCTGTGGAAAGTCAGATAATGCCAGATTAAAGTGATTGCTACTTCCACTAATGGATATACTAATCCGCACCCACTTGAAGAGACTGATCTTTTGGTAAAATGATATCCTTATGATATGTCTTCTGACATTTCCAGTGTTAGAAGAACTCGATATTTTCACACTGCTAAGTGGATAATGCCTAGCTATAGACTAATTGAATTATGATGATTCTTTAAAAGGGCATCATTAATCAAATGTATTTTATAATTAGATTATTATCACTGACCATATCAGTAATGACATTTATCGGATGCCATCAACAAGCTAGAGATTCATTAGCTACTGAAAAAATAACCTTTCCCCAGCTTCTTCAAAAATGAGCCTGAGGGATTCATGTGCACTTTTA